GTGGCCTTTTTACTTTAAATTACTTCTGTGCCCTCATGTGGTTCTTGTTTAGGAACTCTCTAAAAAATTATTCAAAAATTCACACAGACAACCAACTTGAAAACCAAAGACAGTTATTATAAGATACTTTTAAGAATTATAAGTTATTATAAGATAGTGGTTTGAAAATACCTATTTCACCTTCAAATTGCTTACTTAAGATGAGGGCACAATTTGCTAGTATAGTTTCCTTCACACTGTTCTAGGAAACTATAAAGTTGATAGAACATGCAGTTAATTCCTCTCACCCTCTATCCTTCACAGACCACTACACAAACATAGCAACGTCTTAATGACACAGAGTAAGATTCTTCCATCTACTGTCTATATTTTTTCAGCACTTACCCTATGCTTTTTAATCCTTTATTTATTGTTGAGAAGAAATATTTAAGATTGGGAGTACAACTCTCGGCTGCTACACATCAAAATTTTGATGGTTTCTTCTTTAATAGGGCATCCTTAAATTCTTTTTAGAAAAACTCCCCAAAATCTCCCTCTTAAAATAGGCATCAGTTCCAACTGTCCTTAACAGGACTGCTGGTACTCCAAAGCTGAGCTCTGTCTTCCTTGTTCCCAAATCAAAGTCATGTTTCCTTCAGGAAAAAAAAGGCAGTGCCCTATGTCCTCACAAGGACTACCTATCATACATGGTCAGCATGCCAAATGAAAACCTATTTCAAGTCTGCAACCCAAATCAGGACTTCCATATGTATTCACTCAGTGCTTCTTTCTTAAGCAACATATACTGACTGCCACCTCTCAAGCACCAAGTCGGTTCTTATTGCAGAATATATGCACACAAATACCTCTACGTGTAAAATACCCATTTGAAGGCTGTGATGCCCATGTCTGACATGATTAGCATTCTTTTTCTTTTTTTTTTTTTCTTTTTCTTAGGACAAGATAATAATCACAATAAAACTCAAGAATAAGGCAATACTGACCTCTATCAATGACACATTTTAGAACACTTGAGTTTTAGCTGGCTCAGGCAGAATTGATAGCAGAGATTAGAACCAACGGTAAAACACAGCAACAGAATTAGAATGAAAAGCAACAGCTTCCATCAAGTTTAAATCAGGGAGAATAGCAGCAAACCTCCTTTGGACTGTGGTCATAACCACTGTGACACGAGTTGAATGCAGAGACTGTTAGAGCTTGTATTTGGCATAACTAGTTCCTGTTTGACCTAAGAAAAAAAGCGTAATTGCAGCAGACCCAAACAGCAGCAGCAGCAGCAGCCGGGCAGCCAGCGGTGACATTCCACCCGGTAGGAAACAGAAGCCTTATAGAGCACTCACTTTCCCAGGAAGTCCCACACTAACCCCCCTACGTGTTGCGGTGCAGGGACCGACACCTGGTAGGGAAGGTGCAATTTGCGGGAGGCGTGCTTGCTGAGAAAAGGCATAGTCAACAAAACCCCCGCACGCACGGTGAAAACAAAACAACTCGTGGAACCAGGACGTGACAGTACAAAGGGAAAGAAAAAGCAAGGAAGGGGACAAAACGCAAAATTAAAAGTTACAGAGAGACAGGAGGTTATGGAAGGGCAATACAAAAAGCAAACAGTTAGTTACAAAGAAAGTTAGCAACCAGACAGCTACAAAACCCTCTACACCACCACAATCCAGGGACAGAAAGAGAATTTATAGGGCTGTTCACCCACAGAAGAAATGTGAACTTATGGTCCACCTTCCCGTAAGAAAAAGTAAGATCCTACCCACAGAGAATGTAAATTAATGAGGTTGTGCTTTCAATCTTATGTTGATTCAAGTATTTTTCAAACTTTTGCATAGCATGCACCATATTTAACACATTATTTTTTGATATCTTGCCTCCCAATTGACAGCTGAAAAGGTCCCCTACTCAGAAATAGCAACAGTTACCAAAGAGCAGAAGCATTTCCCTCTTGATTTTAATTTGAACTGAAGGCAGCTTTGCCATCATTGAAAATGCTTATGAGAACAGCTTTTCATTTCTTTTTCCTCTGCTTTTATCTTTTCTCCTCCTCTTTTCCTCTATACATACCTCCCTAATAGGTGACTAACTTCTTCTCTTCTATGGAAGACAATGTCTCCTGACAGTGGTCTACTTGTCCCAGATAACAAGCATAAGGAGAAACTTGAGGAAGAGACTCTTTTGGAAAATGCAATTTTTTTTTAGTACAGTTATTCCTTGAATGTGACTTGTTTCTTCTCCTCTTGCTCTACATGGAATTATTTATTCTTTCCAGGAAACCAAGACTCTAGCTCTAAAACATCCTTGTAACATGCCCAGATACATCAGTTCAGCCATGAAAGCATACTTTATAAACAAGCATAGTAGATAAAACCAGGACCAACCTATAAGTTTAAGAGGGTTGTTAACATCTCTGTTTTGTGTAGATCACAAGGAGAAAGCAAGTTTCCAGAGAAGATGGGGTTGAGGGAGCAGTTGAAACAAACTAAGGCCAAATAAAAATTTCAACAATTCTTCAGAAAAAGAGAAATTGATAGTCAAAACCTCACTGCAAAGTATCTGAAACCCTGTGTCTTTTTCTCCAGTGCTGTGATTGTATTACAGTTCCACATGAAAAATCATTCCAGGTGTTGATATTTTGCTAATGCACCACACTAACAATATGCACCTTAGGTGTCTACATCTTGAAGACCTTTTCCATTTTCATTTCCACCTACAGTGATTCAAGAATGTGAATATTCTTAGATTTTTTTCCCCCTCTTGATTTACATGGCTGCTGGCAATCACATAATAACAAAAGTAGCCTTTTCTTTGACATAGCTGAAAAAAATACTCTAATTACTAGCAAAAAAAAAAAAAAAAAGAAAACATATTCTATGTTATCTTGGTACTGCTAGAAAAGATGACAGTCAAGAAGAGGACGACTCCCTTTTTTGTTACTTTTTAGGAGTGAAAATCAGGTGGTAAGAAAGAATGAAGAGTCAAAGTATTCACCAAATTGCTAGGGAATGATGTCCAGTCACTTGGGGTCTTGGGGTTTTTATGCTGTCATTGATACAGTAAGTGTTTGGTCTGCAACTGAAACAGCAAGAAACTACCCCTGTACACATGAAAAACAGTAACTGCTTTGCAGATCTCCTGAACTGCATCTTTCAAAATAAAAAGTTCCTTTCTAGCTCTTTGGACACTGGGTGTCAATGCATTTATCTGTAATGGAGAAGGGGGCCCATCTTAATTTCGCTTCTGTGTGTTTTGGTTTTTTTGTTGTTTGTTTTTAGCTTGTTTGGGGTTTTTTTGTTGTTGTTCCTTTCTAGACTATAAACTCCTTTGATTATTGGCCATTTATGTGTGTTTACTCAGAGGTTGATACTTCCAGTCCCAATCTTGATTACAATTTCTGAATGCTAATGTAATGAAAAAATCCTACTTCCATTAAAGGCTTGCACAAGAAAGCCCTCTTCTTGCCATTCCAGTCTCTGCTAGGAATCAGGTTGAGGAAATGATTAATATTTTTTACTTGTTTTTCCAAAACAGTAATTTCTTCTGCACTCATAAAAAGCTAAGGCACTATGAACATATTTCTTCCCCACACCTTATTCCTAACAGAAGTTTGCTGCTCATGACCTGATCCCTAGTCAACCTGCATGCTCTTAAGATGGTGAACTCCACACCGCTAAGGGACTGAAAAAAATCACACAGGCAAATATGACTTGTAACTGCTATTTAACTTTTTCATGCCTACACTAAATGTACCTACTCTATCAAACTATTGCCTGAAAGTTCTGGTGAATATATAGTTTATCAATGGGCTGAAAGTTGTATCACTTAGAAAAAAACAGGGAAGACATACCCTTATTTTTGGGTGTTCAAGCTTACACTATAGGTATACCAAATTTTGGTTAAATAAAACAACTTAAAGAAAACTAACAGCATGCTGCTTACAATCACAAAGAGAGAAGAAACCCAGCTGACAAGTTGAACTGTTCCACAGCTCTTGTCACTTGCAAAGAAACAAGAATAGACTTCTTAGAAAAAAGTTTTTAAAGTAATTCAGAGGTACCCATAATTTGACAATCATCAAGCCAATGAACAGTAACAATTGCCATGATGCAGAACCTGAAATGTCCTCTACTCAGTTCCCCTAATCTTCCTGACGCTAAATGCAGAGCAGTTAAATAGTGATAGGATAGAAAACAGAAAGACTATTCTGGCACAAAGCAATTAGAAATAAGAAAATTTCCATCTTGCTGTTCCAAGTTAGTGATTCTTCACTGAGAATTGTAAAAGAAAATCCGCAAACAGAAATTCCCTCTTGGGCCACTGTAAGGTAACAAAATGGCAGAAAACAGATTCTGTTTCCAGTCTTTCCCAGTATCTACTATTGATAATTGTGATGCAAACATCATGGAATCATTATGATTTTTGTTTGGGACATTAAAGTCTAGAAAAATTACCTGAGCTTCCTGGCTCAACAGGAAGATGGAAAATGCTGAAAAGTGCTGAATCACATTTTGTCTGTCCAAAAGCAAAATTGTTAATTCAGCTTCATATGAGCCAAATTTTACCTGTGTCCCTACCATTATAAAAAAATTTCAATGCCACCAGTTACCTCAGTAACTGATATCACAAGCTCTTAAGCCCATTTTACTTGTTCGTTTTTTGGAGAACAGTGCCTGAGGAGTTTATCAAATGAAAAGAACAAATTGTTCTGCAAACACACCACAATATTGTTAGCTTTTCTTATCACCTCCATGCCCTCACAGCTCTATCTACCCTTCTAGTTCTCTCTGTATCAGCCCTATTTTTGAGCAGCCAGGTAATGAAAGCACAAGTAAGACACCTTTTTGCTGAAAATCTACCAAATAATGGAGTAATGGCAGAAAAACACTGAACACTTTCCCAAAATAGGCACTCCGAAGTTTTTAAGACAAGAAAAAGGGACTAAGTTATCTCTAACTTTAACCAGCTCCTTTGCTCCTCTAGTAACTTTATACCATTCTCACCTCTCCAGTTCGGCTATCTTCTTATCCTTATCATTCTTCTCATTTTCCATCTCTTTCAAGATTTCCAGAAGACGATCCACTTCAGCTTGAGCCTTGCTAGATTCTTCCCGATACCGCGTTACCTCCCTTTCCAGCTGCTGCATACGATCGCTCAGCTCTTGGCTGGACCTTGCCTCCAGTGTTGCCTCATGAGCCTGTGAGATAAATGTTCAAGAAAAACACTTCACTCACACTTTTGTATTTTACAGATACCATGACGACTTAAAAATGCTATCTGAAGATCTGTTTAAAAATGGCAAGACTAACTATTGCATGGAAATAAATATACAGGGAAATACTTTATAGGAAAAGAAAAATTCAGAAACAAATCAAGTATTTAAATCCAGAATAAAAAAAATAAGGTGTTTTTTTTTTTATCTGAAACAGCCAACATATGAAAAAAGTAAAAATACAAAAAAAGTTAAACTTCCTGGAAAGGAAGAAAAAAGAAAAGTATATGTGAGTGGGTATAAAAATGACCCACTTTACCCACAATACTTTGGACATTTTTATCTAGATAATCTAGAAAAACAAATCAGAGGTTAATAGCGTTCATTAGCTACATCAGTATGCAAAGTGTTAGATAGATTCACATAGATGATACTGATCTACAGAAGTCCTTGCTACTTATCTGAGCCCTACAGACTAGGACTAATATGAATATGGCTACTTACTGAAACTACCTTTGCTTAGGAAAAACAATTTTTAAAAATCAGGCTATGGGCACAAAAAGCATCAGAGGAGTACAGAGAAAATTACCCCAATTAAGAGGTGTTGTGTTTTTGTTTGGGGTTTTTTTATGGCTTGGTTTGCTATAAAAATCATTATTTATTAGTAAGATTAATCCAACAATACCCAAGCGTATTAAAGACAATGAAAAAGCAGTGTTTATGATAGAATGTAAACCAGCAGACTAAGGACTATCTTTTAATTCTCCCCCCTGCCCCTCTACTCTTGGATCTTCAACTGCTATTCAATATAAACTTCAGAATTGTTCAAATTTGATTCAGTGAATAGCAGGTTTGGTGGAGCTATATTGGCAGCCAAGACTGCCTGCAAACTCAAAGCCTTTCTCTTCTTTGAAACAAGCCTAAAACAGAAAACAAGACTACAGACTTTTCCCCCCGTGTGTACCTGCAGAAAGTTTTTTACAAGCTGCCAGCATTGTGCTCCATAGCACAGTAAATTTAAACCAAACAGTATAGGACTCTGTTGCTTTTAAAGGTAATTGGACAGAACTGCAGGAGCATAAAACTCAGGGTCAGAAGTTGCTGTTTCCCAAGAACCAAATGACAGCAAAAGTACACTTGGTTAAATCTGTTTAGTTATTCAGCAAAATGAGACTGAATGAAAATATCTGTTCATTGACCCCAACATTTTGCTTCTAAGTGTCTTGTTTTAAATTAGCTCCATTAAAACCAAGGCCACATTCTAGTGAAATCCAGGATAATGTCAGAGCAGAATATTCTAGAACTGAAGAACATCTTGATGCTGGTCTTTACTGGAAGTGTGATGTTGGGATGGATCTGGGTTTCCCCAATACTGGAACATTTCATGTTTCAGGGCCTTGGCCTTCCAGATCCTGAGTGTTGATGCTGTTTCGGTTTGTTTGTTGTTTTTTTTTTCTGAAGAAAGAATTCCAGAAAGCTGGAGGAGCTGCACAGTATTTTTATCCTAGGAAAAAATGCTTGGCAATGCCCAGGTCTCCCAGGCAGATCTCAGCAAGAGTGCCCGGTAAGCACAGATCCTGGAAGAGCAGAAACCTTTCCTGAGGCAATGTATTTTGGAAGTCTTAAAAGGCTCCTACTTCTGAGGGCCCTTCAATTCAAACCTCAGCACTCCTCTGCCACCAAGATTCAAGTCTGAAAAAATCCTGCCTCTGACTGAAACCTGGCTCCAAGTGCATCCCTGGTGAGCCTGGAAGCTTTGAGAAGCCTTTTGGAGTTAAAGTTGTCTACACTTCCAGATTCCTTACTGTCCCATAAGCACTTTGAATTATGCAGCCTTGGAAAGGGCTCTGCACTGCAAGTGGAAGTCTAATTAATGTATTGCCAAGGTAATACAGACTCCAGGAGGACATTGCAGCAATGAGACTGACAAGTGTGTCAGTTCCGTGAACAGCTGCAAGCATCAGGGAACATACTCTGCTGTGGGCATCAGTGGGTGTTCCTGAAATGTCTTACTGGGAATTCCAGCCTGCAGGAAATCTGAAATACTTAATTTCTTTTTCAACTATACTTAAATTTAAAACAAAAACTCTATCCTTCCCTCCTGAATACTATTTCGCAGGAACTGGGAATAGTGGTTTTTGGGGCACCTATATTCTCCTAAGAGACACTTTGTATAGAGTTAAGTCTGGTTTTCACCAGAGGCAGAGCCTGAATTCATCCGTACTGGATTTAGGTATGTTTCCAACATCTCAAATTGTTTGTTTTAATAAGTACTCTCCAGACACTTTAAAGTAATCCAGAATACATACTCAGATAAACAAGAAATTTATTTAAAATAAAGCAAAGCTAGGCTGTTATCCTGGATTACTAAACTCCCTAATTCAAATTATAACATCTAATGCAGTTCTACTGTCAGGACAGTTCTGATTTATATTACTTTGTGTTAATAAAAGCATCACCACAGCAACCCAAGAGACACTCCTGAGAAGAGGAAATCAATTTTCTTTTGTAGAAAATTAGCTAACAAGTCAGTGTGTCTGGTTCTTATAGAACGAGAGGGCTATTTACATGACATAAATTATTAGTTAAGACACATAACACATGTTATTTGTATATAATGCACATAAGTATGGATAGTTTCACCTAACACAAAGTGAGCGTTATGTGATATGGTGTAAACTGGAGACCACTTCCTGAGTTGTGAATTACTGACTGAGTGACTTCGGTCCATTTTGTGGCTTATGTACAAAATACGTGTTACTTGACCATATCTAAAATCCTACTGGATTAATTTATTGTATAGGAGAGAAAACCAATGCATTTAGAGGTTTCCCACAAACTCACATCAAGATCTGGAACAGATGAAATTGGCTACCTTCCCAATGCCACATTGTGCAAAATAATTCAGCAGTGGTTTTTTTTAATTGAAAAGAAAATTAAACACAAATAATGAATTCCTATATTCACAGTAAAAAAACAAAACACCAAACCAAGCAACCAAACAGTAAAACAAAAACAAAGAAGCAAACGCAACTTCCCTCACCTACCAAAGGTGTACAAAAATTCCAAAATCAGGTGGGAATTTCATTTTCAAAACATACATGACAAATGCACTAACAGTTTCTGCTGTACTAAGAGACTGTAAGCAGTGCATTTTGATAGATTCAACTTTCAGCTCTACCTGAGACAGCATTTCTAAATCTGCAACCTCTTCATATAGTTACAAACAAAAACTAAAATGTGTAGAATTATGATGAAAAACGAATAAATTTTAAAAGCAGCTTGCTTAGGGTAAAGGGAACATTGCACTTTCTCCTCAAATGAGAAATTAAAAACTTATGTCTACATTGAGTTTACCCGATAACAGGCTATTTTAAAAATCTTAACTGTTACTACTGACCCTGTCATTAGCTCTCCAGGTCTGCTCCCATGTGGGGTAAAACAATTGAATTTAAACTACTTTCAAGAGCACAATCAAACTTGCACATTTGATGCTGCACTGAGATGCAATAAGAAACACAGTCACGTTTTAGCTCAAAAGCAGCACCTTCTTAAGCTATGTTTTTATTAGCAAAACTCATCTGATCAGTATTAATTTTAACACTTTGTCAGTGTGAATTTAATTTGAAATTCTGAGTGGTTCAGGACTGAGAACAGTTTAAGCTTACTACTTAGTTTAATCTTACTACACTGGATATGCTCTCAAAGTTCTTTGCGGGGCTATAAACTAAGAGGTGGTTTAACAGCTTTCTGCTTTTCTGCTCTTAGCCATCATTTCCCATCTGGAATGTGGTAAGTGATGGGGTGAGTACTTCAGGTACCTAAAGAATAAAAGAAAGAGTGATTGTTCCTCAAATAAATGTACTATAACTTCTATTGCTTCCACATAAAATCAGTGGACAAAGCCAACTTCTACAACTAGAACAAAGATGGCCAATGTTTCACAGACATAACAACTATTTACAGATGGAAAGGAGAAGACGACAAAACACATTTAACAGATTTTTCTAAGTTGATATTTCTCATGCCAAAAAAGTCTTTACTAAGAGGAAAGGTGATCTTACACAGCTTAAATTGTGCCAGAAGCAGGGAAGAACACAATAGCACAATAGCACATCTAATTTAAAGCCTCTAAAATGTAAGTAAAAATTCCAAACATTATGACTAAGATTCCAAATCAATATTCCTAAAAGATTAACTAAATCACACAGCAAGTAATTCACAGCAAACACTTTCTACTTTTACCTATGAATTGAGACAGCACATTCAGTTTTACATTTCATGTACAAATGTTGCCAAGAACTTTTGGCCACAAAGTAGAAGTTCCCAAGAATTTGAAATTCCATTTTAATCCACCCTTCTACCTCCAAGTGTGCCTCAGATCTGCTAAAAATAGCAAAACCACACACAAATACAAAAGAACATTATGACTATTTAGTGCAAAAGACAAACACATGTAACCATTTTCTTCATTTTTCCTATTGTAAAGGCAGCAATTCAAGTGATAAAACATGTGCTGCCTTCTATCCTGTCTTTATTACTTTCAACAAAATTATTAATTTGAAAAACAACCTGACTTCTTCCTATTTTAGTTTCATTGTTCTAAACACTATGCACTACAACAGCTTTTCATAAAGGCTGTACTGGAAGTTAGAGGCTCAGAGAATTCTCTGATATACTGTGCACCATTAAAATTTGAGTCTGCCAGAGAGAGTTATTTGTTACCTTATTATTGATAAAATATGTTAAACGGTTAGTCTATGTTAATGTAACTGTATATTTTTGACAGTGAATAAGCAAGTATTTGGTGGGAATCATGTAAAGAAGATGGCTGAAAGTCTAAATAAGAGAAAGATGCCTTGAGAAAATCCATTACTGAAAAAAAAGATCTCTTCAGAAATCGATGAATTTCCATAGTCATTATCAAACATTAACAATTATCTCCCAGCAGACTTTAAACCAACACAAACAGTGTTGTACCAAGA